ATAACTCAAGAAACATTTATTTCACTATAATTTGCCAAACAAAGGAATGAAGCTGTAGAAAATCAGCGGGCTATTTACTAAAGCTTTTGTGGTTCTTCAATGTTATTAAAGCACATCGGTAGACAGAACCGAAAGTCATCAAGGGGCTGTGTTTGTAAACCTTGAAAGGGTCTTATTGAAGTACACGCAGTTATTTTTCCTGGTTGTGTATCTCACATTGATAGATAAATAGATGGATTGAATAGATGGATAGTAGTAGAAAGCCGTAACATCAACTGCCTACACGGGTGCAAGTGTTTTAAGCGCAAGAATTTTGCAGTCTCCCTGAAGCGTCCCTTTAAGATGCATCCACTATGCGCCTGACCTCGCTGCTGGTTTCACAGGCCCGATGTTAACGCGTCCTTGAAAGCGGAGCAAGATCATACAACTACATCAGAGCCTTCCTCTCTCACCGCACGGCCAGGCTGGACGTGGGAGGAAACGAAGCTCGATGAACGAGAGCTGGGCAGTGTCGGGACACCACAGGGCTCGGTCATCTCCCCATTCCTGTTTAAAATCGTCATGATCGAGGTGGCCAGGCGTCTGGAGGCGGTGGGTCCGGGGATGCGACACTGCCTCTACGCCGACGACGTAACCATCTGGGCCACGGGTGGAAGTGAGGGAGACATCGAGGCGGGCCTGCAGGCGGCGCTGGACACCGTGCAATCCCCGGTTACGGGCACGGGCTTGTGGTGTTCGCCACAAAAATCAAATCTACTCATCCTGCCACCACCTCGGAGGCCCAGAAAGAAGGCAAGTCAAGAGGCGGCCGAGAACATCATCGTGCGCACTAGTGACGGTATGCCGATCCCGCACGTCCCGGGGCTTTGAGTCCTGGGGATGTTCATGGACGGCACCCAAACCAAAGCCACGGTGGTCAAGAACATCACAACCAAGATGGGCGTCGCAGCGCGCCTAATCAAGCGAGTGTCGTCCCGCTACCGGGACATGAAAGAGAGGGGGCTCCTGCGTCTGCTGCAGGCTTTCGTTATAAGCCACGCGGCATATGCGGGGCCTTCCACCGCTGGACCGGCGCGGAACGAGCCATGATCGACGCCGCCATCCGGAAGGCTTACGCGGGGGCTCTCGGGCTCCTACCAGGCACAAAGACAATGGCCTTGCTGCAGTGTCTCTGGGAGTACACAACACGCTCTCAGAGATCAGCGCGGCCCAGTGAGCTTCGCAGCTGAGCCGCCTGAGCAACACAGCCGCGGGCAGAAGATTACTCAATCGGGTGAGATTACTACCTCCTGGAGAATGCCCAGGAGCAGGACCGGACGGGGAGCTAGAAGAACAAGTTCCCCTGAGCAACGAGGCAGCGAGGAAGATCGTCGTATACCCGCTGCCAAAGAACACGGACATGGAAAGGGATGCAGACAGGCGAGCGGCGAAAGTGGCGGCGCTGGCCCGTCAACATCAGAGAGACGAGGGCGCAGTCTACGTGGACGCCGCAAGGTATCCGGGAAGACGCAACGCCTTCGCAGCAGTGGTGGTCAGCGCTACTACCGGTAAACTACTAACAGCAAGCACCGTGCGCGCCCGAACAGCCGGCCAGGCAGAGGAGGTGGCGATAGCCCTGGCCACAGGTAGGCCGGGCACGCGCATGGTGCTAAGCGAATCAAAGCAGGCAATCAATAATTTTGCCTGAGACATGGTCTGGCGGGGTACGGAGCGGCTAGTGAGGTCCATCGCCGCTTCTCGGGCTGCTCGCGGCGCTGCTGCAGGGCCAACCATCGTCCTCAAACGGTTCCCAGCCCACATGGGACGACCACTGGCTCCCGACATCGAGAACCGCAACGAGGAGGCGGACGCTGTGGCCCGTGATCTCATCACGTGCCGGACCGCGGCAGCTCGTCTCCCCGAAACCAGTAGTGAAGAACGTGAAGAAGACCTAGATCCCCTCACCGAGGTGGGAGCATGGATACGCTCCGAAGACTCAACGACGCCACGAAGGGCCATCCAGCGGCTTGAGGAGGCCCTGGCAAAGCAGAGGAGAAAGGGAGCCGACGACCCGGAGACCGGGAGCGGAGGAGCCCGAGTATCCAACGCCTAGCTGGAGCGCAACCTCCTCAAGATCTAGGCCCTGGGACTATATGACTCTATTAGCCATAGTCTTCAGATAGGGAATACCCACGCCCTGCGTGGCTGGTGACTTCCCGCACGCCGTGTGCGTAAATAAATGTTGTTTCTCTCTCTCACTCTGCAAGCTGAGCACAGCACGAATTCGCTGTAGTTTCTGTTGGTGTTACTCGTGCCGAACTCGCGTTGGAGCACGCCACGCGGGTTCATCGTCACGCCACGCAGGAGCACGTGCGTTCTTCATGCGTCTGCAAAGTCTCGTTCCCCGAGGCCGTCATGCCATTGCCGAGAGAGTGTAAGGGGTAGAGGCCACAGTGCCTTACGCAGCACCTTACACAGGCCGAATCGCGCTAGCGCGTGATTGCTTTCTGGCAGTCCTGGGGCGAGCTGTTCTACATGCGCTGTGAGGGTGGCTATGCCCATCCTCCTAAAGGAAACTTATGCCTTGAACGTGAGCCGCGTACGCGCTGCCCTACCCTCTGATTTTACCCTCCTCCTTCGATACGAAGGTGAGCGTCTCCTACGGCCGCACCATGCGAAAACAACAATAATATCACAGTTGCCTACGAGCAGCCGTGATGTCACGTGAGAGAGCGGTACGGTTATGTCACGTGACTGAGTGGTACGGAGGCGAGCGGTCTCACGCGGTGGCCCGTCACAACACAAGGCAGGAGGCATGACCTCCGAGACAGCGTGCAGGCAGGTGACTCCCTATTGAAAAGAGAGTGATGTTCCAGGCATAGTTTTTCTAGGAGGCATTGGCACGCGAAACACCATATTGAACTCCGCCGTAAGCTGCTTCGAATATAATAACACCACTTCCTCAGGTGCGAGTGAGGCGTCTTCGTGGCCAACCACAGAGCCACGAGATTCATTGAAACTGCTTTGAGTTTATATGCTTTGAGATATGACCAACGCCTTCGTCATGGCCCCGCCACACAGAGGTGGGCAGCCCCCGACCAGCGAGCTCTTGCCACCAACTGAACGTCCTCTTCTGCTGCCACCACCATTTTCCCCGCTGCATTTCCGATGGAGGCGGAAATGTTGTAGGCCCGTGTGCTCAGATTTGGGTGCACGTTAAAGAACCCCAGGTGGTCTGAATTTCCGGAGCCCTCCACTACGGCGTCTCTCATAGTCATATAGTGGTTTTGGGACGTTAAACCCCATATATCAATCAATCATTTTCCCTGCTACACAGGTGCACATACCTAAATTACACATGTGATAACACTATATAAATAAATATATATATATATATATTGCCACGTTCCATTTCCCAAGTTTTTGTTATCATCCCAAAACACCAACGATTCTCAGCGCAAACCGTGCCTGCAGTTTTCGAGAAGGTTCCGGACTGTAGTAGATCATTTCGATAAGATCAAGCCCACTGTGCGAACGGTACAGATTGTTCTGGAACATACGCCACCGCCAGTGATAACGCTAGAACATTCGACGGCAAGACGCCGTCGAATGCCGACGCGCATCGCCGCTTGTCAGTCGTTGATCGAAGGCCGACGCTCCGTTCGCCGCTATCAGTCCGAGACTGCTAACTGTGGGAGACTGCTGCTGTAATTGGACTTTCCATTTACTGGGCACAGGTTCGTCTAAATAAACAGTTAAATCCCAACACGAAGTCGTCTCCTGTCTTCGGCCACGTCACGACCCCGTGACATCTGGTGGAGGTGACAATATATATATATATATATATATATATATATATATATATATATATATATATATATATATATATATATATATATATATATATATATATATATATATATATATATATATATATGAATGTAATGTAGTGTAAGAAGTTTTCTTACCGCATCATATATTGCGTGGCAGAAGCGTAGAATCGTACCAGGCGTCAAAGGTTCTAAATTGAGGAATGAATGGGCATTCTATAAGTCCAACCACTACAATGTACCCAGACCCATCACCAGCAACAGAACCACCAACAAAGTAAACGCATGCGTATGTTCGTGCGTTGCCCTACGGACGCGTATTGGGCCGTTCACCGACATCGGCTGCGTTGACCCGACGAATACAATGTTGTTGTCCCAGCAGAAATAGAATCCTAGAATTCTACGTGGCAATCAATTGTTATACCGCAGAGCCATGCCAGGTCTCGAAGCACCATTGAAAAAAGACATTAAGCAGGCGTAACGTTGATTAAACCTCAGTTGTAGTTCCAGTTCTGGCCTGTTTTGCTTTGTACACATTACGTACATGGTGAGCTTTTTTTTATTGGGCTGAATCTAGAACTGAAACTACCCCCAATAAGACTTTTTGCACATACATATCCTTAAATTTCCTCTAAAACAGTAATAATAAATTGTTAATACTTATCAGTAATTTATTATTATTAGTTTAGAGGAAAGGTGACAGTATGTATTTGCCAATAGAGCCTTACTTAGCTAGTTTTGGTTCTGATATAGCACATCTCGAGAAAAACCTCCGCATGTATACTAATATTTATGTATTACCATTACTACCTATATGCACATTATGTAATACCCAGTTTTATTTCATTTGTGTTTTAGGAAATTCTTACAGTATGAAAAAAAGGTTATTTATTATCCATAATCACGAGAGGGCTCCTCGCGAGCACGTGTACTTAGAAGGCAACGACAACGAAGTTTATTTGACTGCCACCGACATAGGCCTTTCAAAGGTGGCGAAGTAAGTCACACCTAGACTGCGCTGCGACACAGACGATGGAACTGTTCGCTGACGAAGATTCGGTATGTCCTGTTCCTAAAGACAACAGCTCGTGTCCATTACAAGTCCAGGAAATGTTTGTGAGTTTCCCAGAATCTATAGAGCCACCGGATAAGCCGAATATGCTGATGGAACATGGGCAACAAAAACATGTCATGGGTATCACCAACAATCCGACGGAGAGACCAGCTAACATTCCTGAAGGACAGCCGTTTGCTCAACATGTGAACCTCTCGGATGAGAACACGAAGTCCACGGTGGACGTGGTACAGTCGCTGCGGGGACCACCGTCAACTCTGACGAGTGTCAAGTCGGAACCACTGGCTCAGGGGCGACCACCTGAGGCAAGTGCCGACTCTCTGTCTGGGATTTTTCCTACTCCAGTGCAGCCACCCCCACCAGTGGCTAGAAACAAGGCACCATCTACGAAACCAGCGAGTAAAAAACGAAAGCCGAAAACACAGGCTAAGAAAACAGCGCTAGGTGTTTCAGTGCAGCCGTTGCAGTTACATTCAATGAAGCCCTTTACAACTCTTGGAGTAAACTCTATCGCTTCAGACTCTGCTTCGGCACTTATGTGGTTTCCGCAGTCGCCTTAAGCGACTCGCAGTGATGTCCTACTTTCTTCACAGACGACTGCTTTTTCGCTGGGCAATATCATGAACCAGAGCATGAATAATATTGCGGGTTGTGCGGCACAAAGAGCGCAAACCCCGACATTAGCGGTCATGTCTAATACCAGTGATCCGGTGTTTCGAAGAACAGGACCGACCGAATCGACTTCTGCTTCTACCGTGGCATCTGTGACTAATACGCTGTCGTATGGTTCAGTCTGCAACGATGGATCATCGCTTCTGTTGCCGAACGTTCGAGCTCCTACGACTGGCGCTATGAATTATAGCCTAGAGAACATGGTGGGGCTTCCAACACAAAACGTGCAAGCCCAGTCGTCAGCGGCCAAGAGTTCGCAACCAGCAGCGATGCAAGCCCTTCATCCTCCTCCGATGACGTCCATAAACAGCACACTTGCGGCTACGCCAGTTCAAACCTTAGTGAACAGTCTGGTCTTCAATTACCAGCAGGAGGACGCTATACAGTCGCGCATATTTCAACTTGACCAGAGCATCACCTCCGTACTTGCCACCTGAATCGACTGAAGAAACAGCGTGAAGAACTTCAAGTCAGGGAGGCATGCACTAAGAAGAGAAGGATGGAACTCCTGCAGTGCCTTCAAAGAGCTACAGTCAGTATGGAGGAAAACACTGCTGAGCAGATGCGGCCAGGACAACGCAGGACCACAGCTGACGTGCCCCCGCCGCATGCCATTGGCGGCGCAAATCAGGCATTTGTTGCCCCACAAGTTCCTCAAGGCGCTTCTGTTTTGGCATTCGGTCAAGTGACTGAAGTTCAAACCCAAGCTTCAGAAATGTTTAATTTTTCTACCGGAGCATCCACCTCTCAGCTGTGATGAAACACTCAAGCCGTATTACAAGAGCAACGTTATGAGGGCAGTCGTGTCCATGACACGTTATAACGAACCACGTAGAAGTGTAAGTGAGAAAAATGGAAAAGCTCAAGGAGCGGGCTTCACGTGCCCTACGCTATGTTCAGTGATGTCAACAGTGCGTGATGACTGAAATAAATGCCCCGCTTGTAGAAAACATAATCACTGCCTTTCTAAAATTTTAGGGATCCAGTGTCATCTTCATTAATTGACATGCACCAGAGGCTTCGTCTGCGGCATGAAGTAGGGATAGAGAAGTTTCTCAAGTTTTACACAATGCAGTCGGTCTTTCGCACTTTGCATTAAAACGCATCTAATGTACTTTTCATCCTGCCGTCCTCAAGTTGTATTTGTTGTAATAAAATATTTGTGCTCGTTCTCTTAACGGAGGTATGTATTCGCTTAGAGTAGATGCAACCGCAGCCGGCTCTTTGCCTTTGCATACTTTTCTAGTTCCTTGTTTTTTTTTCCTTAATGAATGATTCAGCCATCAGGATGATCTACTACTAAACATTTTACCTTCTTTTCATCTTTTGTGTGTGTATAGCATAGTAATCTTACTGAGCTATAATTACCATTATAGTGAATTATGAACATTGTGGAGTAAGTATTGACAGTGCGCAGACACAGTTTTGCCATGTTTTAAATGCGGAGCATTTCTCTGTCACGCATCGTGCGTCGGCGGCGATGTCCACACCCCCACTGCGCATGCTCGCGCCTCACGTGTCGTGCCGCATGCTTGCGTCTCCTGTCAACTGTTTGCTTCCCCCCCCCCCCCTCTAACCTCGCAAGGCTGACGAAGGTAGTGTCTCCTAGTAAAAAAAAATGCCCCCAATGATAAAGGCAATGACAAAAAAGTGGCAGATCCCACGTACAGTGGGAATCAATGATATGCGAAGCACGAATGAGGAAAGTTGATATGTCACTTTAAAATAGACACAGCGTTATGAGGCTGAGCTAAATTATGCTATAGACGGCTTTCATGATATGATTATCATGTTTGGACGTATGATTTACCTTCGTCGTCCATTCACGTTCCGTAACGCTAAATTTGGTATATGCGAAGCTAGTGAAACAGTGACGAGCGCTTTCTGAACAGCCCAATAATATACTCCTACGTAACGTAACGTAAGGCGCGGCCCGGCGGCACCCGGCGCGAAATGCGACACGCTGCATTTCGCGCTGATGACGTTATCCAGACAGCACCGCGTCTGCCTTCGTGACGAAGGAACGCCGGACGCACTCAAACGCGCATGCGTCAAAGCAACGCAATGCGGCGCACGCCTGAAATTTGGCGCCTGGCGTGGCAACACCGACGTGACTCGACGAAACGAACGCCAGCGCGCACGTGCGCCGGGTCACGCCGAAGTGTGTTGGTGCCTTGAGTGTGGCATGTAGTCATGTTTTTGCATGAAACGCATCTCATGATTATCCTGTTTGTTCAAGTCACATAGCTTCGTCATCCATTCACGTGACGTAATGCCAAACTTATCACGTGGGAACCTGTCGAAAATGGCCTCGAGCGCATCATGAGTGTGGCATGTAGTCATGTTGTTACATGACACGCATCTCATAATTATCATGTTTGCACCAGTCACATATCTTCGTCATCCCTTCACGTCCCCCCGTAATGCCAAGTTTGGTATATGCGAAGCTAGAGAAACAACCGCGAGTGCACCATGAGTGTGGCATGTAAACTTGCTGTTACATAACACGCATGTCATGATTTTCATATTATGGTCTGTCGCTTGTGTTCGCCATGCAGTCATGTCATACCATGCCAATTTCGCAACATTTTATGTGTACGAAACCACCGCAAGAGCAGCAAGACCATGAAATGTAAGTCATGACATTCATGACATTCATGTCATGATTTTTATGTTATGAATAGTCACTCATGCTCTTCATACAGTCATGTTATGGCATACCAAGTTTGGTGTCGATACCATTATCGAAACGGCCAGGAGATCGAAACGTCGTAAGCGGCTAGATAGATAGATGAATACGCTCAAGGTCGCCGAAATTCGCTAAGAAATGCTTCGTATTTAAGAGTAAAAGTGGCAGAGCCAGAAAACGCGTGCGCATCACAACCAGTAGGGCGACAAGCTTTAAGGTACGCGCTTCGCGTATTCTAGCTGGTGATTTCAAAAAAAAAAAAAAAAAAACTCACCAGTGCACTTGCCCATTCTGCGTACCACCAACGGTAAGTGGTGTATATGAGTACCTCACCGTTGGTATGCTGGACGATGTATTGGCCCTGTCACGCGTGGCAACTTGCGTGCACTTAGAGCGAGTACACTTCGCCGCGAGTGTCATTGGCGCGCTGCCACACCAGAACGTTTACTGTAACTCACTGCAAAGTACACTTTCAGGCAAGTGTGTTCGCCAACCTCTATTCGCTGCGAGGGCTGCGACGAAGTGTGTAGCCTCGGTACCAGTGGCTTGCACAGAAATACGCTGTTGCCTAACGTGGTGCACATACTATTTAAAACCATCGTTTTTATTATGATAAATGCTGCAATGGATTAAAAGAAGTCACATAAAGTACAAAAAAACCTCACTACACTCACCATCGGGCAGTTTTCGGCCACGTCCGCTAGGGGAATACAGCAACACATGCGGTGCAATGGCTGTACCCGTCGCGTTCTTTACATCCAGGCACACTTGAACATGTGTAGGTGAGTTGTTCTCTAGCCATTCAAGATAGCGTGTACCACAGGTGCTACTTCCACGAAGACAACGTGGTCCGACGATGAGCCACAGGCGCCAAAATAACATTTATACATTGCGCTACAAATCCGTCCTTTGGCACTGTCATCATTTCCAAGGTACTGCGAACCGCCAAAAATGATACTTCGTGAGCATAAGTACACTCGCTCAAAGGGCACTTAATTTGTTGCCACGTGTGACAGGGGTATAAGTGCCGTGGCCGAGTATGTATAACACCGCGCCTAGCGGAGTGGGGTTTGGCACGTTTGAATTCCAGGCCGCACCCTTTAGGAATTGCTTAAAATATCTGTAAAATGTGAATGCGTTTCTTAGTAGGGCTATGTCAGGTATCCGGCGTTGTCCGCGGTGGTGTCGGCGTGCCGGCAGTAGTTATTTCTGCGCTTTCACTCCCTCTCCCATAGCAACAGCTGCGGGCGCACGCACTTATCCTCGCCCCTAGCAACCGGAGCATGTGGTGCGAGTTAGTGTAGAAGAGGGTAGGTGCAGTGCTTCGCGACTCCTCTCACAAATCGCTCTCTCTCCTTCCTGCTCTCCACTTTACCGTCCATTCGCGCCTCACTCTGGACCATTCGCTGGGTGAGCACCTCCCAAGAACAACTGCAAATTCGCGCTCGAGACATCGCCCTGAAACGCCAATGCCCAGCCGAGAACGCTGTTTGTTTTGTTCACTTCGCAGTATGGTTAACCGTGCAGGCTAGCAATTAGCGACAGACAAAAGCATCAGCGCAATCACTGAGCATGCTGAGACGTTGGACCACCGGATTAATTTCGTAGCAACGGCCATTCTTGACAGTGAGACTAAGTGGAGGAGAAGGCTACTACTCAAGTCGTGGCATATATAGTGAATAGCCCAAAAGATCAACCGCTCTCTCAGAACTCTTTCTCCAGTGTATACACATGGACTGTGCTCCATGGCAAAACAAGATTGAGAAAGAGATGAGGCCATTAACTGCCCGCAGTGGTTTGGCGACGCCTCTGCTACGTAGTCCCAGTTTCTCACGAGGAAGGAACCAAGTTGGTTCCGAAACGTCAAATTTCTGCAAAAATTTTTGGTTAAACTTTCAATCTTTTCCCAGTTGTCATACCCAACCAGACAGACATCGGTCAAATGTTTACTTTCAACACCCTTGCTGGTATCCGAACTACCCTATATTCACTTCATCAGTGACGAAATCAAAAAGTGAAAAAAAATGGGATTGGGTACTGGCCATGGATAAGCGCATCTGTGTAACTAATGCTTATGCGGCAACAAAGTAAATAACGCTGAAAAAGAAAGTTACTGATAGGAAAACCGAGAAAAGGGAGTGTAGCATGTCAACGCTTTTAACATCCAGTTAGCGCTACCATGCGTTCGACATGACTTTTGAAAGAACAACAGTTGTGAAGAGCGAACTTACTATGCATTACATTTTATTTGTTCTCGAATCTCGTGTTATCTATAGACTACCACATGCGTCTAAATCTTAGTCACAGGCTCACGTAAGAACGGCACTCACTATATCAAACCTGCATTCAGAAAAAGAATCGTTTATATTGTATACGAATACTCACTTACCCAGTGAGAAATCACAGTGCGATTCTTGGTCATCTACCTTAACCTTGGTACGCACTAGTTTGTGATTTTTTCCTTCAGTTTATATGTGTTTTTTGTATACACCGCCTCCTGCTTGGACCATCTATACTGCAGTATTGTACAAAACTAAATAGGATAAACTTAGGGTTCTTTGTTTTTCTTTCTCTTGTTTTACAGCAAGAGCTTCTATGAGATCACAACGTGGGTGACACGCAGTTGTCCACCGCTGCCGCCGGTGTGTGTAACCTCATCGCGCAAACCTAGCACCAATGACACATAGGGGCTCGAATCCGACTCTGCTGGGTGCCAGCCCAATATCCTACGATTGAGCCACACCGGTGCTTAGGAATTATTGGCAAACTTGCCTTGGGCAGGCTTAAAGCCGGGGAAGCAATCGCGTTATTACCACTTTTAAAGCGTTTAAAAATAGCGAAAGACCAACCAGTCGTTGCACAATGTGAATAACGCAACAAGTTGGTCGTCCACAGCTCCAACCTATTACAAAAATTGTTCCTGTTTCCCCTGTGGGCCACCCTCATACACATGGCATGGACGTTCCCACAGTACGCTGACGCTTCTCACACAGAAGATACATGGGAGTCCCTTCTGCATATCACTGACTCGGCACAGGAACGCCGGGTAATTTCACGCGCATTGGAGGCCGCGGTGTCCCAAGGGATCCCCGCTGACCTCCTCTAAGCAGCGTAACCGACCTCTCGGCCGGTCCCCTCTTTTGGGAGTAATAAAGTTTTGATCATCATCATCATCATCATCATCATCATCATCATCATCATCATCATCATCATCATCATCCCCTGTGAACTTTGGCACATACCCACTTCAGCCATAACTCCTCATCGTCGTCACCCACTGCATGAACAATTGGCACAAAATTCCTCGCAAGTGCTTAGCGGTTACCACGCTACTCAGAAATGACGAAAAATAGCCTAGCGAATGGCGGCCTACTACCAAAAAAATCTTATTATTAATGGCCTAGTGGGTATATCAAGCAAGTGTGCTACAGTAGTTACCCAATGAGTGCTTTGAAAGGCCCTGAAAGGCCGCTCTTCTTGCTTTCGCTGTGACTGTGCTGGGCCTTCCGCGCAGGTCTGGAGTTTTTTTTTTTTCCTCGAATGGACTGTTAGGTATTAAATGTAGAAATGTAGATGTGTTTTCGTTTTTACTAAACGAAGTAGTTAAGCACGTCTTCTTCTCTATTCTTTTTTAGATTTGTCGCTATCGGCATATAAAAGTTGTATCGGAAGGATTGGTCCTGCTGGCAGCACAAGGCAGGGGCGTAGCCAACATAATTTTTCATTTAGACGGTTAAGGACAACACCTACTTCTAAAGTGAGGGCCGGACAGGCAGATGCGGCCGAGTGTCCCTTTGTGCTCCGTATTCCGTGGCAAGAAAGCTGCGGGGTGGGGGGGGGGGGGGGGGGGGAGCTGCGCTGCTGGCCCAAGGACAAGGAAGTACCGCGCACACAAACAAGGAGCGATGACGCTACTGTGGAAGCGGTTTGCGTTTGTCACAAAATTTCACGAGTTGGAAGCAATGACCGCTGAGAATTCTAGGTTTTATCGAGACATGCAAAACAGTTATCATTTAACACGTGTGACACTGAACATGCATGCAAGAATGAATAAAAAGGTTATTTTTTCTTTACTGATGGTGCAAGATGGGAAGTGCGAGTATGAGGACACCGGTCCAAGTAATCAAGCCAAAAAAGGTTAGTCACAGGCAAGAGAAAAACGGCAATGTTATACAGGCATCTGAAGTAAAGCAATACACTCGCAACTTGCCCGTTCGCAACATTGCTGATGTCTCAAGGCGAATCTTTGAGGCCCCGTTTGTAGAAAACGCGCGGAAATTACAGTCCCCAAAATTATTACATTTCTGAGCAGGAGGAATAATAAACATGCCAGGAAAAGCTTTCTGTAATGACATTCAACTTTAGATGACTCAAATTCTATCAATCAATCAATCAATCAATCAATCAATTTTATTTGGCATTCATTACAGCAAGATAATGAACACGAGGACAAGAACAAAAAGCTGCTATACAGCAGCTTGACAAAGGTCCTTGCCCCAATTCTCGACAGCCAAAAACAACCTACCATGCATTTAAACATCTCTAATTTCACATTTCTATTAAACATTTTCGGTTATCACATCTAGCAGAAAAATCATGAAACAGTGCATAACGCAAGCGGAAATAATGTAGAATAATGGAATGCACAGGTTATTTCGCACAAATGAGATGTACAAAATTTGTATGCGCAATAAAGACCATTATGCATCATGTATGTAAACATCTTAACAAACTGAGAAGCTTGTATAACAGGCAAATTTTTTGATAAAAAATAACTTAACGTAACGCGCACTACTACTTTGAAGATAAGTGCTCACCCACATACCGTTTTATTGCACTTCTTGAAGATCTTTGTATGCAAATGCCATTTCTTTCAAATTCGTTGAGCAAGCGTGGCACAAGGTATGACAGACTGCTCATCCCATATTTCGTTCGCGAAAAAGGTATGAGCCATCTGTCTCTCTCCCTTATGTTATATGAGATAGCTTTAGGTATAGTCAGCTTGCATAATAACAAAAAACTATGGTTGTTGCATCGGAAGTATTTTTGGCATTTTAAAGCGAGGTTAACGTTATAGAAATTTTCGAGGGGGCAGATCTTAAGGGTGGAAAATAGTTCTCCAGTATTGGCATCATACTGAACATTTGCTATGTGACGAACTGCTCTTTTCTGAAGCACACTCAACCTATGTAAATTGACTTTTGTAGTGTCACCCCATACTAACTGACAATACGTTAAGTGAGGGGAAAATAGGGCGTTATAAATCATGCGTTTAACGCTCCTCGGTAAAGTATAGCGCAGTCTACAGAGCACCCCACAGGCTTTCGCTAAACGGGTGGCAATGTGATCAACATGATCATTCCAAATGAGATGATTGTTAAAAACAACTCCCAAGGTTTTGACGTTTGATGCAAGTTCTATGCGAGCAGATCCAAGCTCCAATCTGAAATCTTTAAGATCATGTCGTTGCGGCGGGGTGAAAAGGACCGCCTTAGTTTTTGCTGTATTCAGTTTTAATGAATTAACGAAGCTCCATTCGGCTAAGCATTTCAGTGCACTGTTAGAGATGACCGAGAGAGTACTTATGTCACTTGATCTCAAGAAAATGCTGGTGTCATCTGCATAAACTATGAAGTCAGCGTCATTAGAAATATTTGTTATATCATTGATATAAATGTTGAATAGTATGGGCCCCAGTATGCTACCTTGCGGTACTCCTTGAGTTATTTTTTGTAGTGTAGATTGTTCTGACATGATGGCAACGCATTGCCTTCTGTGCTTT